ACCTATAAAATGCAACAAAGCCGATATTTTTAAAAATACAATTAAAAGATTTCGTGTATCCATAGCCGTGCAAGGGAGCAATCATTATGGCTTACGTCTTATTCGCAACAAATATAATATTAATATTTAACCAAACTTTCAAACATAAGCGTGAAACCTATGACTTGATCGAAAATGTCATACTTAAAATGCATGATGGTATTGTTAAAATAAATTTATAAATACAATATATTATTATATATGTAATTTTTTAAATTAATAATTATATATAATATTATATCTATTAATTAATAATTTAAATATTAAATTATCATTATAATTTTAGAATCTACGTAATAAGATAAGTGTATCATTTTTTATGACATGATAGGAAATGCTTACGTGGTATCTACTGTGCTAAAGAATACTTTCATTTTTATAAGCTGTGAATCTGCTATCTCTGGGATTTACCGAGATTTCGCTTGGTCGTCCATTATAATTTCTCACACCAAATAATGAAAATTGAAAAGAGTTTATTGGTTTTTGAATCTGATAATTGTGTAATATGTTATATAATATAGAATAATTTTTTTTTCTTAAATATATCAATCTTAATCTATTTTAAAGTTCAAATTTAATTTTTTTTTAAAATTATTAAATTTAAATTCTTAATTATTATAAAATGTTTTTTTAGATTAACGAGACTAAATAAAATAAATAAAAAGTGTATTTCATTAAATGCCGGTGAAAAAAAATACAGTATATTGCTAGAACATATATATTTGGATTGGTCTTCTAATCATTTTCAATTTGGTCCCTAATTTGCTAAAATTGTTTGTAAATTTATTCATTGTTTCACATTTTCTGTAAATTCAGAAAAATATACTAATAAACCTAACAGTAGTTTAGCTTTTAGCTGATAAATTCCTTTATGCTAGATCTCCACTTTGACTTTTTACATTCAAAAATTAATTTGTAGTTTAGATTATAAAAATACTAAACTTTTCTAAACTCTTTTACAGTTGTAATTATTTGAAATTTAATAACTTAAACTTAATAAAATATTCAAAATTGAATGAGATAAGAAATTGGAAAAGAAGGGTATACCATTGACACTGGATCAATGTTCAGTAATTAAGGATGATATTGGTAATGCCCAGAAGAGTACATATGTTGGCAAGCAGGCCCCAACTTTGCTTGTTAATTTCTAGATTCTTATTGATGGCTTGAAAGAGTCACCACCAGCCTCCCTGTTGGCCTGCTGGCTGAGCATTTGGATTCAGGATGTTTCCATCGTGGTTCTTGGGTTCGAAGGGTGGTAAGAGAAAAAGACTATTAAAAGTTTAATTGAGTTTATCTCAACAATAACTAAGCAAATTAATAATTTATAGATAAAAAACAAATCACCAAGAACAAATTATGTTTGGCTTAAGAAGAACCACAGGTGCTCCAAATAAGAAGCTAATAAATTAGAGCAGAACACGAAAGGTACGTTGTTCTAAAGATTGAATGACGAGGCTCCAATTCTTTTACAATATATCTTGTATAATTTAACAAAAACTTAAATTATTTTGATGTTGACTTGTTATTGCTGATCCAAAATAAAAATATTTACAAGTTGTATTTTTCTATATATAAGAGTTGGTTCAACTAGAAAGTTTTTAACTTTTTAATTGCTTATTTTTATATTCAAAATTAATAAACAACTTATATGTAAGTACTATTATAAATCTTAAATTAATTGTATACTTGAGTAGCTTTTCTCATCATAAACCTTAATTTACCCAAAAGGAAAAAGGTTACAGAAGTCAGAAAGTATGTTAGGGAACGATGGAAGTAGAAAAACTTTTAAAATGGACCTCAAGGATGAAAGTGAAAGACAATAAAAGTTAAGAACTCAAAGAATACGAACTCAAATAGCTAGGGATGCATTATGAAACTAACGTAATTAAATCAAAAGTCAACAACTCTGGCTGGCCATGAGTAGATGCTGTGTCACTCTGAACCAGCTCATCATTAGATATGTTATCCACGTAAAGCTGACTCAGACTGCCCCTCCTAATCTTGTCCATATTCCCATTTCCTATTTTCGAAAAAACAAAAATCTTGTCCATCTTCAGGGCTTTTTCTTGTTCTTGAGTAATCTTTCTGTAAAAGCCGCCTTATGTTACAACTATAAACCCAGCCGTACTCCACGCGCCAAATCTAATTTAGGATTTAGGGATATGATGGTATTTTTCTTTTTGAGCAAATTATAATTTAAGATGATTTCAAAACTTCAATTTTAAGGTTGGGGTATATTTTTATAACGAGGTATATAATTATCGGATTATAAAATATAAATGTTAAAAATATGATAGTATTTAATTTCTTTAATAAGAGAAATATTTACTAAAATTAAAAATTAAGAGAAAAAACAAATTTATACAACTAGTGCCAAAGGGATTCTTATTTCCTTATCCTCAAATCATTGGAATGACTATTTTTATCTATGATAACTATTGAGATAAGTCTTTTTTTGTTTCGTGTTTCTGATGTGGCAATTCTCAGGAATATCTAAATGGTAAAATAGGATTTTTTTTAATTTTTTTAAGGTTGACCGTACACGTGGGACTATATAATTGAAGGGTGTCGAACACGCGCCTTTAAGGTAGGGTGATGGGATTAATCAAGGGAGCTGATATTTTATGTTTTTTTTTTGGTTGGGGATTGAATCACGTGATTGCATTCTCAGGAAATTTTGGAATAAATAAATAATGAAAGTTAGATTTTCATTTGAGGACTCAAAATATTCTAATTTAGTTATAAGGACAACAATCATTCCTATTTTCAAGGAGGGACTTGATTGGATACTATAAATTCCCCCCATAATATCAACAGCCTCAATCCAAGCCATTTACATTTGCTCTTCACTTTCTATCATTCTCTTACCGTGAAAATGACCGTTCTCATTGAGAATCATGCTGATCATGGTACCTGTTTTCATCTTTTTGATTTTTTTACTTTTTTTTTTCCTATTTCACTTTACATTTTAATTTTTTAGATCTTGAATTTTTTTTCGTTGACTCCTTGTTTGATATTTTATAATGCAAATAAAAGATTGATGTTCATGTTGTGCTAATTTTAACAGAGCAAGCAGAGGAGCAAAAGCATGTGGAGGAAACAAACGAGCTGGTTTTGGACGGCGGATTCCCTGTGCCAAAATCCGTGTCAAATGATGAATTCGTTGTACCGGAAATCAATTCCTTCGGCCAGACTTTTAGGTTCGATGAATAATCAATCTCTCTACTTTCCCAATTGGGTTTTAGTTTTATTGGGAGGAAAATATTAAATGGGAAAATTTTGCAGGGATTACAATGCAGGTGAAAGGCAAAAGAGTGTAGAGGAATTCTACAGGACACAGCACATTAACCAAACATATGATTTTGTAGGGCAAATTTTTGCATATAGTACTTAACATCATTTATATTGATTTGATTGAAAACGTAAAATTGGAAGTTGAAAAGTTGAATGTTGAATTGGTAGGTGAAAAGGATGAGAGAGGAGTACTCGAAATTGAACAGGATGGAAATGAGCATATGGGAATGTTGTGAGCTCCTGAATGAGGTGGTGGATGATAGTGATCCTGACTTGGATGAGCCTCAGATTCAACATTTGTTGCAATCAGCTGAGGCTATCAGGAAAGATTATCCTGATGAAGACTGGTTGCATTTGACTGCTCTTATCCATGGTATATTCCCAATTCAATTCAAATTTTCCTTTATTTTGATAATAATAAAAGGAGACAATATAAATTCCACCAGTTGGGGCCTTACTCAACTTTTGTGGAAGGTTTGAAAGTATTGTATTGGACCCAAACACCCATCTTATTAAAAAAAAAATCTGAACATTAGTTCTTATCTATCAAAACTAGATAGTTAGGTTTTGACTAAATCAAACCATGGAGCAACGGCATACCTCACCTGCGAGTCATGCCTTTTTCGTAGATTACATCGATCTTATTGTTATTCCATTCCTTTTAGGGAAAAGCATGAAAATTAAAAAAAAAAAAAAAGGGGGTTATGTAAAGGGAGTTGGCTAATTGATTATTATTATTATTATTTGGTTATACTAGTTAGTTTATTAATTAATGAAAGTGTCTGGTGGTTTTTAGATCTCGGAAAGGTTCTTATTCTGCCTCAGTTTGGAGGACTTCCACAATGGGCTGTTGTTGGTGAGATGTGTTAGTTTTTATAATATAATTATAATATTTTTTATATTTTTAAATTAAATTCTAAATATTTATCAATATTGCAGGTGACACATTCCCTCTTGGATGTGCTTTTGATGAGGCCAACATTCACCACAAGGTCTTTTTTCTCTAAAAAATTTAATCCAAACTATAAAATGATTGCTTACAATCAACTAAAAGGAAAATGAAATTTTTTGAAATTTCAGTATTTCAAGGAAAATCCTGATTTCAATAACCCTGCGTACAACACTAAGAATGGAATTTACTCCGAAGGATGTGGGCTTGACAACGTGATGATATCATGGGGGCACGATGACTATATGTACCTGGTAATTGTGGTTCCAAAACATTACATTAACCTTAATTAATTGTGAGGTAACCACGTGAAAATAATCTTGCACTGAAAATATGGCATGTTCGATCCGCAGGTTGCAAAGGAAAATGGAACAACTTTACCCTCAGCTGGGCTGTTTATTATCCGATACCACTCCCTCTATTGTAAGCACTATAAATCAATTAATTTTCTTGAAAATGTGTGGTATGACCAATTGATATCCTAACCAAAACTATTCTTTTTACGTTGCAGCCTTGCACCACGAGAGAGCATACATGCACCTCCTGAGTGATCAGGATAAGGAAGATCTTAAGTGGCTAAAGATATTCAGGTATGCTATTATAATTTCCTCTACATTTTCCTCTACTTTCTGGTTTGATTTGGTATATCAACAATTTTAAACTGGATAAAAAAATGTCAGTAATGATGCTTTTGTGAATTTATTAATTATATTTTGGTAATTTGCAGTCTCATTAACATTTTTTTAGCTAATTAATTCACACTGAAAAACTGCAATCTATTTATATATCAGCCGAAACTAATTGTTCTATTGCTTTGCTTTAATTCATAAAATATTTTGCAGCAAATATGACCTGTATAGCAAGAGCAAAGTTCTCGTTGATGTTGAAGAAGTCAAGCCCTACTATCTTTCCCTCATCGAAAAGGTAATTAATTATAAAAATAATTTAAGGATAATTTTTGAGAACCATTTTTTTATATAATATTATATGTTATTTATTGATTAACTTTTTTTATTTTATTAAAATATGTGAAAGTTGTAAATATTAATCTTGCATACATTCACTTATTAAGTAACATATAAAAATTATAAATAATTAATTATACAAATAAGTTGTTCATACATTATTATCTATTACTAATTGAGTAGACTAGCTAGAGATTGCTGATTTTGTTTCTTTAATCTTGGAAGTTTTCTTTTCATTTTTTTTATTCCCCTAATTTAAAATCTATATGTGAAATTTGGTTGGCAGTATTTCCCCGCAAAGCTCAAGTGGTGAAGCATGGAGGTTTGGAAGATATTCCTGATATGACACCCTGCGGTGATTAGGGATATTTTGGGACATTCATCTGGCATTGAGGAAAATGGAGAAGCAGCTATGAGGATTACTTTTGTTCAAATAGTTTCATTTAATTATGTCGTTATAAAATAAAACAAATATGAGCTCGTGTTGTTTCTTCTAGATATGCTCATATTTTAAATTGTTGTATGTTCTTGTTTAATTTAATAAATTGAAATATCCTATCATATTTTCTCATATGTAATATCATGTGTGAGTACTTAAATGAAAAGAAATCAATTATTTAACTATATATATAAATTAAAGTACGAAGTGATAGTGTAATTATTATTATTTTTGTCTTATTCTTATATTCACTATAATGATTGAGTTACAATATTTCATATAATATGGTATCCAAATGGACCTATAAAAAAAGTGTAAGAATGCACATGATATTATTTATATATTCTTAATGAGCCACTTTTGTGTATTAATTTATTTACTTAAACTTGACTTATTTGATAAATAAATCAAGTTTGAGATTAAAATCAAGTTTAATAAAAAAAGGGAGCTTAAGTTCTAATTTTCATGATTATTCATGGCTATTTATGAGTACTTAGTTTAAAATGAAAATTTATATTATATATTCATTTATTAATTTAAATACATAATAATTTACAAAGTTAATAAAGATGAAAATATAACTTAAATTAGTTATATATTTTTGAGTTATAAATATTAATAAAAATATTTAAATAGATTTTATGATTGTTTTTTTATGATTTAATACCCAATTTGGTCCTTAAACTTTCTTTTTGAAACTTAATTCATACTTTGACTTCAGAAAGCACCCAGATCATCCTTAAACTTTATTTTTCCAAAACCCAAACGGTCCTTCTGTCACGGAATTGCACACATGGCATGTTAAGTCTCCTCCAGTTACCTTTTTTAATTTTTACAAGCTTATATGGACAATACACCTCACCCAATTGATGACATGGCAATATTGTCTATTTTTGTCAATGCAGAACAGCTCCCCTTCTAGATTCACTCTCCCTTCTAGGTTTCTTCCAACCTGGGGAGATTCCATCGGGTAATTCTCGGGGAAATCAACCTGAAGCTGGTAAGTTTCATTTGCATATAGAGTTCCAGGAGCTCCATTTACTTCAATACCTACAGACCAGAAATATTAAAAATTTAGTGCAAATAATATCCTTAAAAGGAATGTGGAGGAACTAATTGAAGAGAAACATAACAAAAACCTCTAAAATTGATAAAACCAACATAAATATCCTAAGATTTTCCATTTTCATTCATCCTGAAAAATCCAGAAACACAAGATCCAAAATTTCTCTCTCTTATTCTTCTTTTCTTCCCGGAAAACAAACAGGAAAAAGAAAAAGGCACTGTCTGAAAGACTCAAAAAACCATCTCCCTTTGAAGATTATCGGTGACTTGGCGTTTGAAACTGGCGGGAGGGTTGACCTACAATTAAAAGAAATACTACATAAAATTAAAAGAAAAGCTATAAGGAAGGTTGAATAAAAAAACAAAATTGAAAATTACACAAATAAGCTTCAAAAATTAGAATCAAACCTACAATTTTTCACAGATTATTGTTATTATTTTTAATTAATTTACTCAGGGATTGTGACAAGCATAGGTTGCCAAGCTCTCCTCAGTAATCTATACCGAAACGCCTTTGTTATCTACCTCAGAGAACCACCGTGGCGCGCCGCCAGACCGTCACTTACGCTCCTCGAAGCCGATAACAACCCTTCACTATCATCCACTCCACTCTTTACTCTCCCTCTCTTCAAAAGGCGGCGAAGACACAAAAAGCTCCTTCAATTTCCTTTTCCCTTTCCCTTCTTGTTACTGGTTTCAGTAGCGTCGGTTTTTTTCGGAGACTGATCCGCAACCTTCTCCCGGTCATCACAATGGCCGAATCAGTGGCGCTCTGAACGAGATGAACGGTTGAGAAGCATGTGGAGAGTTTTACGTCGGCGGATGTGGATGACAGGACTTGCACTTGGGCTCCTCCCCGAACTTCCTGCTATCGTGCACTCCATGGCTAGTAGCTTGAATTTCTATAGAGTCACCATTAATTCGTAGATCGATTTGAATCTAACCCAGGTGCTACTAATTAACCCTCCTCCTGTTCCTTTGAATCCTGGAACTTAGATCCGAGATTTGAGAGAAAAACGAATGAATCAAATTCCTGGATTTATTAGGGATTTTGGAAGGAAAAAAAATTGGAAGGAAAAAAATTGTCATCAATTGGGTGAGGGTATTGTCCACGTAAGCTTGTAAAAATTAATAAAAAAAGTAATTGGAGGAGACTTAACGTGCCATGTGTGCAGTTCCGTGACGGAAGGATCGTTTGGGTTCCGGAAAATTAAAGTTTAAGGATGATTTGAGTGTTTTCTGAAATTAAAAGACGAACTAAGTTCCAAATAGAAAGTTTAAGGACCAAATTGGGTATTAAACCTTTTTTTATTGTTAAATTTAATACATTAAACTTTTGGTACTCCAATAATTTGAAAAAATGCAAAAAAATTTATAGTTAAATAATTAGTAATAAAA